AACATTCCTCTCCAATGTAGATCTTTGGGTGACCGATCGGAAAAGCACCCGTTTTCAGTACATAGGGATACAGAGAGCATACGTCTATGTAGCGTATTTTCTCCGTTCCCGCAACATCGCATCGGGTTGGTATATTTCCCGTTCGGCCACCGAAAAATGCATCGCGCGGATCGAGAGGCGAGTTCTTTATTATCTGAGCATTTTCAAGAAAATTGCGCATCTCATTATTCTCACGTATTTCTCGGTCGAAATCGCACTCCCATTTCTCCATCACCAGGTATCCTCGTCGTCGAAGACGCCATGTCACCGCGAGAGTTCGCTCGTAGCGCGCGTCAATCGTATCGCCATGATGGTGGAGGAATTGAGTTTTCTCTCGCGCTTTATTCGGAAGCATGATGGATACCCATGCCAAAAGCATCCGTGAAATTGTAACACGTAACGTTGCGTCTCGTTCTCCAAATCAGTTTCGTAATATCCATCGACGGACGTACCGGCAATCCGAAATTCGCGCCCTCGCCCCGCGTGGCTTATCCGTTGATTGAGTTCACGCTCCATCCACACCAACCACTGCACGACTTTGCGCGAGTGATTATCTCTATATCTGTATCCACCCACTGGAATGACTCCTATTTCTTTCCCGCGTAAAAAGTTTCTGCGAAAAACTTTCATACACGTAGAAGCGATAGTTGTGCATTCCACGAACGGACACACGCTCCCGCGTACAAGAAAGATTTTCCTGAAAGCCAAGCAGGCCCGTCGAAGGATATCAACGTCGTTACGACAATATTTGATTATTTCGCGTTGAAAATCAAAAATGAAGCCGGATTGTGTCATGTCGTCGTGCTATTTTATAAAATGCTCGCGTTCCTCGGGTTTCATTTGTTCGGGCGAATAATACCGTGCGCTAGGTATTGGTCCGATATATGCTTGATGCTCTTTTCTATTGAATAAAGGAGGAAAGATGCCTTTACCCGATGTATCCTGCAGTCCGAAAGCCTTAGGTAAATCAGATAATCGCATCGGCATATAATTTGAGCTATCAATAAATTTCGTGTTACCGACCGTCATCATGATAATTTTCGTCCCGTTCAAAATCATCCGTGGCTCTTGAATTATGCCAGATTGTTCTACGATGTATTTTAAGATAAACTGAGCGTCAAACGCTTTCGCATTATGCGCGATACAAATTATTTTGTTAAAATATTTTGACGATCACGTTGCGAAATCTACAAACTCTTTTACCGGATCATGGCGAAAAACAAATTCACGCACCCCGCACCAACGACATCGCGTCGACATTTCTTGTATTTCCGCGCACGTTTCGCAAATTTGTTGAGCGACGCAAAGAGTCGGTATGTGTATCTTTACGTTCTCCGTTCCTTCGAACGTCTCGTCTTGTCGGGTTTTGAAGTCATAGAACACGAATGTGACGCGATCTTTTTTACTTCGCGCATCATTTGCACTTTCGACGTCATTCTCGTCATTTACCTGGTTCTCTTCTCGCATTGTCCCAGCACTCGTCCCCTCTCCGGGGTCTTCGACTGTGACTTTACGACGAAGAGGCTGAATGTAACAAGAATGATTCGTTTGCAACGAGCGACAAATTTTACAAAAGATAACGTCGCAGTCGTGACGCGAATTCGATTTCACGAAGCGTCCGCAGTCGTTGCAAATTCTAACGGATTTGCAAACGCTTGCGTCCGATTTTCCATCGTGAGATCTTTCCGCACGATGACGCTCGAAACAGGGATTTCCGAAGAACGTACGATTACACGAATCGCACCTAACCATCTAACCAACTGGGCGCCGGAACCCTCGCACGACGGAATCGCGTAACATCGCGGACATTTTTTCGCGCAACGATGCCCTCTACCGTTCCGATACCCGGTGTTGCACTCAACGCAATACCCCCCTCGAGAACCGGCCGCGGCTTTCATGTTTAAAATTGGCTGATAATGCCTCGAACGCTCGTAATACATAATATTTAAACGGAATGAAGGTTCACGACCTAGGGAGGAGAGTAACGCGCAGCCGTCGTACAACGGATTCTCGCCGCGACCAAAAGTACTGAAATTGTAAACAATTATCGCGATATTTTCCGCAGCGAGAAACCGTTGAAATTGCTCAATTTCACGAATTCCGCATCCCTCCTCGGGAATCGTGATACCCGCAGAAATCGTTAATTCTTTAGCCAACTCGCGTTGTAAAGAAGAACGCTGATATCTCACGGATTCCCATCTTTCATGTAGTTCCCCCACGCGTAATTGCCCGCGATCGTAATGCACGCGTGCCGCTACAAGCGAACGGGGAAAACATAAATTGTCGGAATTGACAATTTGTAAAATCGAGCGTTTAGCTACGTCTTCGTGCGTTAATCGATTGGACTGACGTCCGCGACCGGTAGGTAGCGCAACTCTGAAAACGCGTACCGTAAAATTTTCCGCGATATTGATTCCTCCAGCACTTTGCGCCAACGAACTCACGAGCCCCCATATGTCCTCGTGGGTTAGATCGCGTGCTGGACGAAACGACAATACCGCTGGACCACGCGCTAGATCACTCGACTCAAACGATAATCCGACGTAATCGCTCGGTTCGCACGTATGTACCGCATACGTTCGAATTTCACGAAACGCGTTTTCTAGCCATTGAGCGATATCGCTACCTTCAGGTGGCGGCCGTATCGCGAAAGTCGCCTCTCTTCCTAGAATCGTGAAATTCCTAAATTGCCGCGAGTTTTCCGCCCGCAAATCTATATAATTAAAATTATTGACCTCGTGCTGACGACATCGTTGCTCCTGTTGCTGATGATCCTGCTCCTGATCTTCATTTTGAGCCTGACGAGGTGTCGGTGGTGTCGACGGCGACGGTGCAGGTGTCGACTGACGGGATCGCGGGGGTGACGCTAGTTGATGATCTCCCCTTTGTGAAGGCGAAGGGAGAGCGTCTGAGGGCTGGACAGCACCACCACCAATTTGTACTGAAAAGTTAAACAAAATTTTTATTTAAATTTCGTTGACTTTGCTATATTATGTCTAAAGCTTATCCCCCTCCCCACGTGTCATAATGTAACAGAAAAGTAAGGTAACTCACCTTTAGCTGCTTCATATGATCGTGAGCCGAGGATATTTTTTCGCTCGAGAAGTCTCACTAATATTCCGGCGACTGCGGTAAAACCGGTGAGTAGGAAACTTTTAATAGAGAAAATATACGTTTAAGAAAAATTTCTCGAAACAACGGGATAAAAGTAAACAATAAAATATTATTACTTTCGACGTAATTGTCGCCCTCCTCTTCTCCGACTTTATGCGTCACGTCCTGTGTCTCCGAAATTTCGTCAGCTATATCATCGATTTCCTCGTCGCCAGTATCATTGGTAACATCTTCGTTCGCCTCGTCGATGATATCATCGGCGTCTTCGTCGTCCTCGTAGTCGTAAATGTCAGTTTCTTCTTCTTCTTCTTCTTCTTCTTCTTCTTCTTCTTCGTCTTCCTCCTCCTCTTCTCCCTCTTCTTCATTTTCGCGTGCTAAAAAGTAATTTTTACTGTTATTTTTCTTTTTTTTTTTTTGCAGAATTAACTCTATGTTTCGTTAACCGATTTTTTGAACTTACGCGACATTGAAATAATGGTAATTGACGAGTTCCTTGATCGCTGCGAATCTCCATTATCCTCGTCATCAACGTCATCATCATCATCATCTAAAATAGAAATGTTTTTAATTTTCTTGTTATTGCGGTAATATTATATGAACTATATTTTACAGTAGAATATTTTTTAAATCATCTTACCAATTTCGATGAGAGCGATGCTTTGTCCATTGCGTGGAGGCGGCGCATTATTTGGCGGTTCGATTCGCGCTCTTCCTAGAAAAAAATTAAAATATTTTTAATAAAGGAAATTTTCAGCATTTGATCAATATATTTATTTTTCCAACTTACGCACAGGGACAACCTTGTCTTCATCCTCCGCGTGACGTCGTCGTCGCCACAGGCTCAGACTCCCACGTCGCACGAATTGCACGGGATTAACGTGCGCCACTTGACGATTTGACGCTAAATAAATATTATAATTTTTAATTAATAATAATAATAATAATAAATCTTTTTTTTTAAACGCATAATTTTGTTTCAGCTCAGCTTACCTACTCCTACTCCTGTGTTACCGATGATCCTATGACGAAACTCATCAATATGACCA